TAGCCTCCACACTACCCAGCAGCTCCTAACAGCAAGCAGCACCATTTATCCAGTGCTCACTGTGGGTCAGCAACAGCTGGGAGGCTTCAGTTGCTTCAGTTCATGAACACCTGGAAAAAAAAGACCAAAGAAAGTATACTCACACTCACTTTCCTAATGAAAAAGTGAGGTTCAGAACTAATGGGTAACTTGCCCTGACCACACTGAGTTTAAGCAGTAGGTTTTGGATGTGTGACACCCCCGCAAAGTGAGTCTTGCTCATACTTAATTGGGCTGCTTCTCTTTATGGCTTCTCCCCTAGAGCCCCAGAGATGGGGACTGCGGGCCCACACATCCTGAGTATAGTATGGGTAAGGAGCTGTCCTCAACAGAAAAGCACTCTTTCAGCTAGTCGCCACACTAGCCCACTGCAGAATCATAGTAGGCCGTGCTCATTACAGGGATTGTCCAGAACTGCCCTGGCCCTGTAAAAGCCTCCTGCCTGGCTGCCCCACAAAACCCCAGCCCCCTCACTCTGTAGGAGCCCTTGTCCTCATCTTGAACAGGAACCCCTCTCAGAACCTGAGCTGGAAATGTACCTGGCCCCACCTTGTTCAGGAACCCTGGTCCTCACTCCTAGAAGAACAGCTGCCCTAGCCTGGTACAGAAACCTTGTGCTGGAACTCTTAAGGGAACCCTTTCTCTAATTACCAACAGAAAACCCATCCTGACCCTGGACAGGAACAGCAGCCCTCACCTTGGATAGGAGGAACCCCTGTCCTCCCACAGCACAGGAACCTCTGCCTTACCCTGGTTAGGAATCTCTGAACTCATGCTGTAAGGAAGCCCCTGCACCACCCCTTACAGAAACGCCTGTCTTCACCCTCTTCCTAAGTCTCAATCTCTCTATAGAAACCCTGTCTTGACCTTGGACAGGACATCTCTGTCCTCACACTGTACTGGAGCCCTGTCCTCCAGATAGCATTTTAGAAACACTTCACTCACAATAAAATCTAGTTCTGAACCACTGACCTGGCTCTCTCCGCAGAAATCCCTGTCCTCAACCTCTTCAGGAACCCTGATTGAGTGTAGAAGCTCTTGCCTCCGTTGTTGACAATGACCCCCAACATCACTCTGCACAACAATCCTGATCTCACCCTACCCCATAGAGTCCACAGGAACTCACGATCTAACTCTCAACATAAAGCTCAGTCTTGAAATTAGATAGAAAACCCTTTCCTGACCTTGCATCAGGGATGCCTGTCCTGACTCTCGGCTTTAAGCCCTGACCTCCTCCTATACAGGCACCTACAGCCTCATCTGGCACAGGATCCCCCGCCCAGACACAGTACAGGGCTCCCAGCCCTCACCCTATGTTAGCTCCATGGCCCTGACCCCTACAGGAAGCCTTGCCTACAACCATACTGCAACCTCTGATGGGAGTCTCCACAGAAAACCTTTTCCTGACTCACAACAGAAATCCTTAACTTGACTCATTTACAGCAATCTCTGACCTGATCCTTTATAGGAACTCCTAACCTTGCTCTCTGGAAACACTCTCATGACCCTGCATGGGAAGCCCTGATGTGACTCTCTGTGACAGCCCTTGCCCTGGCCTTGTCCCAGAGCCCCACCCTTTCCATGTGAAGGAGCCACAGTCTTGACCCAACAGAAGAAACACTAACCTGAATCTCTGAAGCTAAGTGTCCTACCTCTGCACAAGATCTTTGTCCTGACCCTGCATGAGACCACCCTCTGAGTCCCAGCAGGAACTTGTGTCCTGAGCTGGTACAGAAAACCCTCACACTCAATGGAAACCTTTGACTCTTGAGAGGCATCCAGGATAAAAACACCTGCACTCTATAGGAACCTCTGCTCTGACATTGTTAAATAACTCATAAGCTGAATCACCATGATTACCTGTCCTGAACCTGTACATGAACCCCTGACCTAACCCCTAACAGGGTCACTTGACCTGTCTGTCTCCAGGAACCTAGCTCTGATCCTATACAGAAACACCTGGCCTGAGTGATCCTCTGGCCTGACCTTCTACAGAAAACCACCCTCCTGGCCTCTAAGGAACACCTAATCTTAATCTGCACAGGAAAAATTGCCTTCATACCCTTCCCTCTCCCTCTACAATGTCTCCAACCCTCATATTTTCCTATGAACCAGCCTGACCAAGTAATAGAATCATTATCCTGACTCCAGACAAGAAACACTAACTTGACCATATAAAGAAACCCCTACACCTACACAAGCATCCCGTCTCGATACTTTAAAGAGAATTCTCTACAGCAGTGCTGTCCAACAGAAATATAAAGCAAGTCACATATGTCATTCTAAATTTTCATGTAGCCACATTAAAGAGATAAAAAAGAGATGAAACTAATTTTAATAATATATTTTAGTTTACCCAATATATTCAAATATTTCATTTCAATATGTAATCAATATAAAAATTATTGAGATATTTAAATTTTTCCCCATACTAATTTTCTGAAATCCAGGGTGTATTCTACACCTATAGCACATCTCAAGTTGGACTAGCCACATTTCAAGGGCTCAGTAGCCCCATGTGGCCAGTGGCTACCACACTGGACAGCATAGTTCTGTGGAGTCTATAGAATCCTGTAGCAGGAACTGCTATAGGCTCTTCAAACCTGTTCCCTTTCTTCCCGAGCTCACTCACATTTTACAATTAGATGTGGACATGTGACAGAGTTCTGACCAATGGAGTGTGGGGAGTGACATACCACACTTCCAGGCCTGGCCCATAAAAAACTCTCACACAATCCTCCACTCTCTCTCTTTCCCTATCTACCAGCTGAATAGTGAGAACTCCAAGGATTCAGAGGGGAGCAGAGCCACAAAATAGAAGATCCTGGGTCCATGAATGACCAGTAATAAAAATTCACATTGGATTTTGTATGAGCAAGCTATAAACATTTATTTATTAAGACCCTGAGATTCTGGGTTTGTTTGTTACAGCAGCTAGCATAATTTAGCCCAATAACAATCTCTTGACTGAATCTGGACACGAACACCTGATCTTAATGTCTATATGAACACAGCTCTGAATCTATACAGAAACACCTGTGCTGACCCTGAACTGGACCACCTGATCTCTTTGTATGAACATGTCATAATGCAGTCTAGGGAGCCCCACCCTGAATTTGTACGGGAACCTCTAGTCTGGAGCTCTCTAGAAACAACTCTCTTGTCCTGTATAGAAACGCCTGCTTGGTTCAGTAGAGGAACAGCACCATAGACACTACAGGAATTCCCATCCTCACTCTGTCCAGGAACATTTGCTTGACGCAATAGAAAAACACCAGAAGTGACCTGACCCCTGTCCATGAATCCCTGTCCTCACACCTCACACAAAAGGAATACCTCTCCTCAGGAAGCATGGAACCTCTGCACTCATCCTGTAAAAGAATCCCAGCCAGATAAAGGAAACCAAAGACTGACACTCTACAGCAGGGATCAGCAAACTATGGCCTTCAGGCCAAAGCCAGACTGCAGCCTGTTTTTACATTTTTAAAGGGAAAGAAGGAAAGATAGAAAAATATGCCACAGAGGCCCTATGTGGCCTGCAAAGCCTAAAATATTTACTATCCGGCTCTTTATAGAAAGTTTTCTGACCTCTGCTCTACAGGATGCTCTGACCATACAGAAAAATGGCCTTGGCCCTTACAAGACTATCTACTCTATTCCTTTGCAGGCATCACAACTCCAGAATGTTCCTCAGTGTGTATATATGTTTTCTTTGGTGTATGTGGAGGTTTAAGGGTCTTAGGGCTGTGACTCTCTTCTACTGGGACAAAAGTCACGTTCAGTAGGAAAGGAGTGGAAAGGAAGAGAAGGCTGGAGCTAGAGTTTTCAAGAGGGTTCAGAGGGCCCGGCTACTGGGCAGTGGGGCTGTCAATCAGTTTGTTAGTCAGCGATGCTGAACCCCAGGCCGCTTATCTCTCTGGCCCCAGCCTACAGCCCGGTAGGAAATGGTGAAGAATGAGAGAGGCAGATTAGGAGGACAAACCGGCCTCCTGCGGGGCTGATATTTAGACATTTAGACATGAGGTGGGAGGCAGTTGGGGGGGCGCGCAAGGGGGCAACTCCCCCTACCCCCCAGGCACATACTTTCTATTACAGCTTGAGAGCAGAGGTTACCCGGTGGAGGGGGCTGGCAGGGAGAGCTACTGCCCAAGAAATACTCCCCTCCTGGAGTCCATTCTGGCCCCGGGCACTATTATTATCACAATTTTCCAGATGAGGAAACTGAAGCAGAGATGTTCAGTAACTTGCCCAAGGTCACATGGCTAAGTCGCGGAACCTCAGTTTCCTTATCTGCAAAGCAGCCTTAATAATGGGAACTACCTCACAGAATTGTGGCTTACGACAACGCCTACCACACAACACTTTCTATCATTACAATTACTCGCCCCTACTAAGACTCCTTCCGCCTCACTATCCATTTTCGCGGTAGAATATTAATAACTAACACTTGGTGAGTGCTTCCTGTGTACTACCTTAAAGAATATATTAACTCAGAAAATCCTCACAACATTTATGATCATCACCAATCCCATTTTGGCTGCCAATAGCCATTGTCCAGTTTCAACCGCGCTCCCGGCCAAGAGGCCGGCCCGCCCGCGCTACGTCATCACGGCGCGCCGCGCGGGAAGCCGCGGGGAGGAGAAAAGACGCCTCTTCCTAACTCTCCCGCTTGCTTGCTTTCTCTCCTGACTCATTGCACGGCAGGTGGCGCGGGCCCGGAGGACTCCTCAGGTGGCTGGACAGGCACAGACAGACGGCGGCCACAACAGCCAGGACAACAGCTGAGGTGGTTGGGGGAGGGGCAAGCTTGAGCCTGAGCGCGGCGTTGAACGGCCGGCGCGCGCTTCACGCAGGCGCAGCACGGCCCGCGTCGCGCGCTGACGTACTGACCCGCTGTTTGTGAGCCCGCGAAAGGTGCGGCCCACACGAGGGACACGGCCCTGTGGCACGAACACTGGTGTGGGCGGGATCAGGGCGGGCAGTAGAGAGACCCGGCCCAATGGAAAAGAGGACCTCAGGCACCCGCGGCCCCACAGGTCGCCGGGAATTTGGCGGCGGGAGCCAAGGGCGGAGTTTGAGAAAGGGGCTGCGCCCAGTAAGTGGAGCCGAGGCGATTGGTCAGCGTCGACGGCGGGGGCTGGAAGGGGGAGGGGGCTGGCGGGAGGCGGCTCCGAAATGGCTGAAGGGGCTTGGTGACGCGTTAGGGGTAGGGTTTGGGCAAGGGGGTGGGGCCTGCTGGAAGGAAAGGGGAAGTCCCCTGAGGAGTAGGGCTTGTTGAAACGTTAGGGGCGGGATCTGGCCAAGTGAAAGGTGCCGGTCCGGCCAGATAAGGGGTGGAGTTAAGTGGATCGTTAAGGGTGGAGTCGCGGCCGGGCCTGGGTCTGGCTGAGTGAAAGGGTGGGTGATTATCCCGGGAGATTGACTGGAAAGGGCAGGTTTGTGAAGGGGTGGGGTATGGGCGAGGCTTAGAGGAATGAAAGTGTCTGGGAATGGGGCTTGGTAGAGCGGAAGGGGCCGTGATTAGCTGGAAAGTACAGGCCCTAGAACGGACTGAGCCTGGGCGTTAATTGCTCAGTGAAATGGCAAGACTTTGAAAGGGGAAAGAATTAGAGGGGTGGAGCCTAGTGGAATGGGCGGGACCAGGTGGAATGGACACCTCAGTGGAGGAAGAGGGCCTTGAGAGAGGCAGAGTTTAGAAGGCGGTGGGGCATAGGATAGCCTAAGAGATGGAAACTGGTATAGGGGGCGGGGCCTGGGAATGGGCTGGGATATGGGGTCCTCAGGGCACTCTAGCCCCTTCACAGTCACCTCCACCCCACCCCCCAGAAACTCGTCAGGGGCGAAGTCCCCCCGACCATGACCTCCACCGGCCAGGATTCCACCACAACCAGGCAGCGAAGGAGTAGGCACAGTCCCCACTCGCCACCCCATGACTCCGGCGTCACCTCGGTGAGGCCCCAGACGTGCCCTGATGAGGGAGAGGGGAAGCAGTGGGCCGTGCACTGGACTCTGACCCTTTTCTCTGTTTGGCAGAAGAGAGGTGTTAAGAAGGGTGCCACACTCCGCTCCAGCCCCAATCTAGCGGAGGTAAAGAAGAAAGGCAGAATGAAGAAGCTCAGCCAAGCAGCCGAGCAAGACCTAATCATGGGGCTACAAGGGCTGGTGAGAGGGGCCTGGCCGCAATTTAGCCTCCTGTGACCATCAAAACCCTGAGGTTCTCCATCCTGGACAGTATGGGATGTTCCCTCTGACTTAGGGTGTAAATCCATCGGTGTCTCCCATTTTTTTCCCTGCAGGATCTGAACCTTGAGGCCAAGACACTGTCTGGCACTGGCTTGGTGTTCGATGAGCAGCTAAATGATTTTCACTGCCTCTGGGATGACAGGTGAGGCTGGCTTCTCCAGGCTGTCCCCAAACCACACAGATATACACGCTTAGAGCCTGTTAGCAAGAATTAATCCTTTCTTACACTAGCCTAGAGACTGGAAGCAGGTGATTTAGGGAGATGGGGCTCAGGCTTGAAAAGGTTCTTTTCCTTTAGCCAACAAACATTTATTGAGTGCCTACTGTGTGCCAGGAGTTGGTGATACAAACATGTCAGACAAGACGGAGTCCCTTCTCAAGGAGCTGACAGGGGAATGGGAGAGCAGATCATTAAACAGCCTACAGCAGTGTGAGGTATTTAATGAAGGAGGACTTAAGACCAGAGGATTTGGGAGTGTTTAATAGAGGACCCTAAACTAGCATCCAGGGTTCCCAGAGGCTTCCATGAAGAAGGGACGTTTGTGCTGAAACAGAAGAATATACCTCCTATTTGCTCACACATGTTGAAATCCATCAGAAATTCTTTGGGCTCTGTGTTTGAAATGTATTCAGTATCTGATGTCTCCTCACCACCTCCACTGCCACCATCATCATCACTCACCTAGACTTGCAAAGGCTTCCTCACTGGTCCCCTGCTTCCAGCCTCACCCCTGCTGTCTGTTCTCCACACAACAGCCTAAAAAAATATGTACTATGTGATGTTTTCTTTCTTAAAATCCTTCAAGGGCAGACCATTCCCCTGAAGGTAAAGTCCAAATTCTTCATCCTGGCCTCTAAGGTTCCATGTGATCTGGCTCCACATCATCTTGGTGACCTCATCAGCCAGTCCTCCCTGTCATTTGCTTCCCTTCCCTTCACTTCACTTCACCCACACTGGTACCCTTGCTGTTCTTCCAACATGCTAGGCACTCTCCCATCTCAGGTCCTTACCCTGGCCGATCCCTTTTCCAGAGATTCCTTTCCACCTTCTCCTTGCCCGGTTAACATTCACATCTCAAGGAGACTTTCTCGGAGAGGCCTTTGCCTGGCCACTCTCCTTCCTGCACACCTGATCTTTGTTTTTTATTGTGAATTTTTTTTTTGTGAGGAAGATCAGCCCTGAGCTAACATCCATGCTAATCGTCCTCTCTTTTTGCTGAGGGAGACCGGCTCTGAGCTAACATCTATTGCCAATCCTCCTCCTTTTTTTCCCCCCCAAAGCCCCAGTAGATAGTTGTATGTCATAGCTGCACATCCTTCTAGTTGCTGTATGTGGGACGCAGCCTCAACATGGCTGGAGAAGCGGTGCGTCGGTGCGTGCCCAGGATCCAAACCCGGGCCGCCAGCAGCGGAGTGCACGCACTTAACCGCTATGCCACAGGGCTGGCCCAATTGTGAAATTTTTGTTGTACATTATTGTTTATCAGTCACCATATAAGTGCATCCCTCCACCCCTTGTGCCCCCATCCCACCCCCCCTAGCCCAAGGTAACCACCAAACAGTTCTATCTGTCCGTGTGTTTGTTTATCTTCCACATAAGAGTGAAATCATGCACTGTTTGTCTTTCTCTTTTTGGCTTATTTCGCTTAACATAATACCTTCCAGATCCATCCATGTTGTTGCAAATGGGACGATTTTGTCTTATTTAATGGCTGAGTAGTATTCCATGGTATATATATATCACATCTTCTTTATCCAATCATCAGTCGGGGGACAGTTGGGTTGCTTCCATGTCTTGGCTACAGTGAATAATGCTGCGATGAACATAGGGGTGCATAAGCCTCTTTGGATTGTTGATTTCAGGTTCGTTGGATAGATACCCAGTAGTGGGATAGCTGGATCATAAGGTATTTCTATTTTTAATTTTTTGAGGAATCTCCATACTGTTTTCCATAGAGGCTGCACCAGTTTGCATTCCCACCAGCAGCCGCACACCTGATCTTTGAGATATTCCTAGCCTATGTCATTGTTTGTTAATTATTATACTAATGTGTTTACCAGTTTAGTATCTGTCTCCTCTCTCCCAACAGAAGACTCATGATGGCAAAAGACTTCATTTATTGATACATTTCTACCGTCTTCTGAGGAGCTAGGGACACGGCAGTAAACAAACAAACAAAACCCCTGCCTTCATGGAGATTACATTTTAGGGGGGGAACAGTAAACAGACAAAAAGGAAATGATATAGTGTGTTAGAAAGAGAAGTGCTATGGAGAAACACTGAAGTGGGAGGGAGAGTAGCAGAAAGTACAGTGGAGGGGACTCTTCAGTTTTAAATAGGATGGTCACGGAAGTCCTCACTGATAATTGATCAGGGATCTGAAGGAGTTGAGGAAGTGAGCCGTGGAAACATCTGGGAGAAGAGTGTTCCAGGCAGGCAGATTAGCTAGCTGAAAAGAACTTGGTTTGATTGAGGAGCAGGGAGGAGACCAGCGTAGGAGAAGCAGAGTGAATGAGGGGGAGAGCGGTAGGAGATGGGGTCAGAGAGGTGATGGGGCAGATTGTAAAGGGCCTTCTGGGGCATGGGGAGGACTTTGGCTTTTACTCTGAATGAGATGAGAGCCACAAGGAGGTTTTGAGTAGAGGAGGGACATGATCCGATTTAGGTTTTAACCAGTGTCTGGCTTCTGCACAGAGAAAGGACCATTGGGAGAGTGAGGGCAGAAGCAGGGAGGCCAGTGAGGAGCTGAGTGCAATAGCCCAGGCAGGAGGGTATGGTAGCAGCAGGGGAGGTGATGAGGAGAGGGGCAGGCTCTGAATAAGTTGTGAGAACAGAGCCAGCAAGCACCAGGGATGCCTCCAAAGTTTCTGTCGGAAGCAGCCTTGGAAGGGTAGATGGAGATGTGGCAGGAGCAGATGTGGTGCTCACCAGTGTCCCCATATATATCCATGTGTGTGTGTGACTGTATCTCTGTCACCCCAGCTTCCCTGAAGGCCCTGAGCGGCTCCATGCCATCAAGGAGCAGCTGATCCAGGAGAGCCTCATGGACCGCTGTGTGTCCTTTCAGGTGAGTCCCCCCAGCCAACACCCTGGGTGGAGGGCAGGAGCTGGCAGGACCTGGGTGTGGCCAGTGCCTTAGCCCTTTATTCCTTGTGTCTCCCCAGGCCCGGTTCGCTGAAAAGGAGGAGCTGATGTTGGTTCACAGGTGAAGGCTTGGGAGCCTTGTAGGGATGGGGAGGAGGCTGCCCTGGGCCAAGCAGGACAGGCTAGATGCTTTAGGAAGGAATGTCATGGGTTCTGTGGCCTTGGGCAAGCTGCTGAGCCTCTCTGAATCTCAGTGTTGTCTCCTGTAACATGGGGGCTAGTAAACATAAGTTCCTCAGGAGGGTTCAGTATGTGTCAGGTGCTTAGAATGGTACCTGACATATCATCAGCCCATGATGAGCTATTCTTGTTATTATAACCTGGTGTGTAAACACATGGTGGATGTGTGGGCAGAGTAATCAAGGAGTTTCCCTGGGGGGGCTGCAGGAACCCACAGTAAGAGGCCTGGGGCAGTGTGGCTCAAGGAAAGTTAGTTTGGCAGAGGGGGTATCTGAGCTGAGCTTTAAGAGAAGAAAAAGTAAGTCAGATGAAGAGGAGGGCTGAGGGAAGGGAGTTACAGACAGCTGGAACAGTCTGGCCAAAGGCCTGGAGATAGGATTTGGTGTGGCTAGAGCAGAGGGCAAGGGATATTACTGGAAATGAATCGGGCTAGGAAAGAAGCAGGGAATGTGTCCTATATCCCAGCTGTTCCCCCACATTGACAGTTGAGGGAGCCTGACATGTCCAGGAGTCCTGTGCATGGAGGGCTCAGCTAGGGAGGGGACAGGGCCCTGGTTCAGGGCCAAGGAGGGAAGTGGACCCTTGAATCTCATCCCCCGTCTGTGTCCCCAGCCTAGAATACATTGACCTGATGGAGACAACCCAGTACATGAATGAGGGGGAACTCCGCATCCTAGCAGACACCTATGACTCAGTTTATCTGCATCCGGTATAGATGAGAACTGTGAGGGCAGAGGGTGGTGGCAATCCTGGGATCCCCCATGCTCGTGCCCACCCCCCTGGGGAAAGCAGCTGAGTGGACAGGGCTGCTCTCTCCCTCACTCCCTCTCTGCCTCCCCACTGTCTCTCCAGAACTCATACACCTGCGCCTGCCTGGCCTCAGGCTCTGTCCTTAGGCTGGTAGATGCCGTCCTGGGGGCCGAGATCCGGAATGGCATGGCCATCATCAGGTAGGATGCACCAGCATTTGTCTTTTTACATTTTAAAAAATTCCTTCCTTCAAATGTAAAATATATTGGTATGGACAGTATATTCACATGCTTCAAGAGTCAAAAGGTAAAAACGGGGGTATAAGAAAAAGTCTCCCCCTTCCACTCTTGTACCCCAGACATCTGCTTCCTCTCCTGGAGGTAGTCACTTCAACCAATGACTCATGTGTCTTCCCAGAAACATTCCGTGCCTATTGATGGAGTAAATACCATATTTCGTTGACTCTAAGATGCATAATTTTTCATATTTGTAGCATCTTGAAATCCAGATGCATCTTACAAACAATGGCGTCTCAGAATTCAGTTAGCAGCATTTTCTGCTTTGTTGTTGACATATAAAATCATGCTACATCTTATCATTGTTGGCGTCCTAGAATTGATGAAATGTACAGGATACAGCCTTTCTCCTCCCTCCCCTTTTTTAGCCACAAATGGTGGTAGCACTTGACATGCTCCCTTCCATACCATGCATTTTTCATTTATACATCTTGGAAAGCTTTTCTCTAACAGTGTATAGCTTACACCCATGTAGAACACCATTGTGCAAATGCACAGTAAGTTAACTAGCCCCCTACCATTGGGCATTTTCGTTCTCCCCAATCATTTGCTGTCTCCGAAAAATGCCACAGCAAATATCATTGTACATTTATAAACATGTTATTTGACCCTTTTTGTTATATAGGTTGTGGGCTAAGTCCCCAGGAGCAGAATGACTGGGTGTGAGGGTGTGTGCATTAATAATGTTAATGAACATTATCAAATTTCCTTTGGAGAGAGAGCAGTAGACTGGAGGTGAGGGTCTGAGGGCCCCATTTACTCAGTTCCTGGCAGATTTGCAGGCATCAGCAGTCGGGGGGAGTTGGCGGTCTAAGATTAGAGAGCAGGGGAGAGTCCATCTCTGCAGAGGAGGACTCCCCCAGTCTGTGGCCTTCCCTGTCCTGCCCAGGCCTCCTGGACACCATGCCCAGCACAGTCTTATGGATGGGTATTGCATGTTCAACCATGTGGCTGTGGCTGCCCGCTACGCTCAACAGAAGCATGACATTCAGAGGTCAGCAGCAAGCAGCAGAGTGGGTGTGATGGGGATGGCACGAGGTGGGGTATTCTGGTCTGGGCACTTTCCCCAGCTGTACCTTGATCCTTTTACAGAGTGCCCCCCCTCTCTCCTGCTCACAGGGTCCTTATCGTGGATTGGGATGTGCACCATGGTCAAGGAACACAGTTCACCTTTGACCAGGACCCCAGGTATGCCCCAAGTGCCACCCTAGATGCTAGACTCCCAGCACCCCCCCCTTACAGGCCCAGCCAGAAGGGGCCCAGGAGGGAAGGGAAGGCATTCACATTCATTGGGACCAGGCTCTGTGCTGCTCTCTGCTTGTCTGCTCTCTCTTAATTTCACTCTCAGGCGGGGATTGTTGGGTTCCCCATTTTACAGATGGGGAAACTGAGGCTTACAAGTTACAGGGTCACACAGAGAAGAAGTGGAAGAGATGAGATTTGAGCCCACAAATATTTGGAGGTCTTGTTTATCAATTTACTCTGGAGCTGGAGTGAACCTCAAATTACTACTTTATTTTTTCTGATTATGACTACTGCAAAGTTTTTGTTTAAAAAAATTAAATAATACAGAAATGTCTAAAGCAGTCAGTCTCCTGTGATTCCCATCACCTGAAAAATAACCGTTGATAGTTTAGGTTATATCCTTATAGAATTTTTCCTATAGATGTATAAATATTCATTATCATCATTATTATTATTAACTCACTGCCTAATGGGACAGTCCTCTACATGTCCTTCAGCAACTTGCTTTTTGCATTTAACAGCATGTTGTGGACACTTCTCCACATTAGTGCCTCTACAAAAAGGTACCACCTCAGTCTTTGTAAGGGCTGTACAGTGTTCCATTGTATGGCTGTACCTCTGGTCATTCAACCCCCGGACGTTTATGATGCTTCCCAGTTTTTGCTATTACAGACAGTTCTACAGTGAATAGTCGGTCAATATATAATTTTACACTTCTCTGAGTATATCTGTAGGATGAATTTCCAATAGTGGATTGCTAGGTCAGAGAGTCAGCATGCTTTCAAGTCTGGGATCTACTGCCAGACTTCCCTCCAGAAGGGTGGTACCAGCTTACCCTTCCTGCAGAAAGTGATTGAGCGAGTCCTTGTCAGTAGGGGACACTACTAAGGAGTTTTATCCAGTCTATTGAACCGACTGCATGAAATCCACTTTTTCCCCATAGAGCCTGAGCTCCTGTGGCCCATTATCTGGGTTGGCTGTTTTCTAGACAATGCTTTATTATTTTCCAGTATTCATTGTTGCTGACAGATGTCTGATGTCAGTCTGATTGTCATTCCTTTCTGAGTAATCTGTTTTCCTCTCTGAAGGTTTTAGGTTATTCTTTTTATCCCTGGTGTTCTGAACTTTCACCCTGGCCCCCTCATTCTGCTTAGCCGTGGGTAGACATTTTATATGAATGAAGACTCATGCCTTTCTTAAATCCTTGGAAGTTTTCTTCTATTAGATCTTTGATGATTTCTTCTACTGTATTCTCTCTGGTCTTTTCCTGTTAGTCAGATGTTAGACCTCCTGGGTTGATCCTCTGTGTCTCTTACTTTTTATTTCAGGTTTTCTGTCTCCTTTTACTTTTGCTCTGTATGCTGGGAGATTTCCTCAACTTTACCTTCAAGCCCTTCTGTTTAATTATGTATTTAGACATTCTTCTAATCTCCAAAAGCACTTTCTTCCTCTCTGTTTCTATGCCCTCTCATTCCTGATCTTGTTTTTGTAGAGTACTAACTGGGAGTGCTTTAAGTTTTCTTCAGTTTTCCTCAAATGCCAAGTGATCCTTATTCTGCCATTTATACCTAAGAATGAGCATTGTTGCAGGTGGCTGTCCTGGGACTGCTCTGCTGTGGTGCATGTGGGTCTGTTTCCTGAAAGGCATTTCCCTGGGACCAGGGCAGGAAATGTCCATTGACAGGTCTCAACTTCAGGGGGTGTGGACAAGGAGCCAGGCGTTAGATTGGATCCTGCCAAATGCCAGAAAAAATGGGGTCTCTGGGCTGGCCCCGTGGCTTAGTGGTTAAGTGCGCGTGCTCTGCTATTGGCGGCCCGGGTTTGGATCCTGGGCGCGCACCAATGCACCACTTGTCCGGCCATGCTGAGGCCGCATCCCACATACAGCAACTAGAAGGATGTGCAAATATGTCATACAACTATCTACTGGGGCTTTGGGGAAAAAAAAGGAGGAGGATTGGTAATAGATGTTAGCTCAGAGCCAGTCTTCTTCAGCAAAAAGAGGAGGATTAGCATGGATGTTAGCTCAGGGCTGATCTTCCTCACAAAAAAAAAAATGGGGTCTCTTCTTTGGGTGACATCTCTTTTTTTACCCTCAGCTTTGCCAAAGGCTTGTCAATTTTACTTATCTTTTCAAATCTAGCTTTTGGCTTTTCTGGCCATCTCCACTGTTTCATTGTTTAATTTTTTATACTTCGTTATTTTTTCTGTTTTTATCTTCATTAATTTCTTCCTCCTGTGTTCTTTATTTTGTTCATTTCTGGCTTCTTGAATTGAGTGCTTCAACATTTATCAACTCATTGGCCAATCTCATTTTATCTATACCTGCCCTCACTGCTGACCTTCTGTATTATTTTGAAGCTAATCCCAGATACTATATCATTTCTTCTATAAATATTCCAGAATATATATCTAAGACATAGGACATGTTTTATAAAAAAGCATAACCATAGTATCATCTCTAAGCAAATTAACAAGAATTCCTAAATATCATTAATCATTCTTTTTGTTTTAATAAATGCATTGGAAGCTATAGCTATGTTCTTTTGTGGATATATTATTGACTATGTGCATGGATATGAAGAATTGTGAATATATTCATTGCATTTTTCCTCATGAATAAGAAGGTACAAATGAAAAAACATTTATCCATGCCCTTCAGTCTCCCAGTTCCCAATCTCTCAGTCTCTTCACTCCATCAGCAGGGGCCTGGGGTAGAGACAAATCGGTCAGTCCTTCAAATACTATTATGAAGACAAGGAAACAGGTAAACTAAAGCTAAGTGGTTAAAAGAAACCAGTAAATTTAGTGAATTGGTCATGCAGGGAATTAGCTATTCAGAATTGATTTTGTTGGATCTGTGTATGACGTGGATCTGTGCTTGATTTCTTCAGAAGCGAAACCTTAGGTCATCTTAGGTGCCCTCCCCGACCTGCTCAGTGTGGGAGAGGGCCCCCTGGGGCCCCTGGAACCTCAAAGACTACTTTCCAGAGATTTGTTGAAGTCTCTTATTGTCTGACATCCTTTCTCTCATTCTCGGTCTTTCTGGGTTGATGCTTGTTGACAATTCCTTTACTGTCTTTTGACTGGGATCGTAGGAGAGCGAGAAGGTAGATCTGTGCTTTCAGTCCATCATCCTTTCACTGGAAGTCAGTGAAACTTATTTTAAAATCGCCTTCTGTTTGTTTTATAAACTCAGTTTCCTTGAGTGTTAGTTCTTTTGTTTGTTGACTTCGGTGGCTCTCTTGTGAGATGAGCTTTCTTCAAATCTTTTCTTTTTTCCTTTCTTCTTCCTGATGATAATCTTTATGTTCTACTGTGTATTTATCTATCAGAGTCAAAAGTAAAACAATCATCCCCCATCTACTGAAGACCAGAGCTTTCACATGCATTTCATTCCCCAATTTCAAGATATTTTTATTCAATTTCAAAAATCCTTTTATACCAGTTGCATTCAATTTCACAACTACATGGTCACCATTTATTAAAATGTGACTATTAAGTCTGTCTAGATTCAAGGCTTACCACTATTTCTTGGATTTCCCTAAAAAAAGAAAAGAATGCTGCCTTAAAGCCTTTCTAGAACAAGGCAGGGGGTGGATGAACAGATAGATGGATGAGAGATTATTCATTTTGATTGCCTCAGTCAGAATTAAGCCCTGCCACAGCCTCCTGCCGGGCTTTCTTTCAGAACATGTACCGTCGTGTCTTTTCAGTATCTGCTCTGTGTATCAGTCCCCCTCACTGCTCTGAGTGCTCAGTTTCTCACCTCTAGAATAGAAGTAGTAGAGGTGGCCTGTAAGGTCTTGAGAAGAAGGAATTGCCCCTTCACTGGCCTCATGGAGCCCCAGCCAGCACCCAACTGCTGCTCCACACACACAACCAAGTCCCACCCGTCCTGACCTTCCCACTGAGTCTTCCCCTGAGTCTCCCCACTTCCTTCAGGGAAAACACCAAGCTCCCCAGCCTGGCCTGATGCTCTTTTCAGCCTTAGCTGGCTCCTGCCAACTAAGAGCCCCATGCTCCCTGTGGGTTTGTTCTGCTGTTACCACCTTGGTCACAGGGGCAGGTGGGTGGACAGGCATGATCTAGAGTCCTCCACAGAGTCAGGGGTCCTCGAGGGCTGAGATAGACCCAATAGCTCTCAGTGTCTCAGAGCTGGAACCGGGTGGGGCAGCAGTGTGTGCCAAGGGAGGAGTTCTGGTAAGAGATCAAATTAATGAGTGAGTGAGGTAATGAATAAATAAATAGAAAAATTAATGAATAGGAGGATGAATAAATTAGCAGCTGAATAGAAGGGTAAATTAATGGAAGAATGAATGAATGTATGAATTAAAGAATTAATGGGGAAAATAGTAAGAGAATGGATGAGGGGTTGAGTCAACTGTGGTAACTCTGGGTTAGGGGTGTCTGCAGGATTGACTCAACCCCCCGACCTCTTTTTTTCTCTGCCCCCAGTGTCCTCTATTTCTCCATCCACCGCTATGAACAGGGTCGATTCTGGCCCCACCTTAAGACCTCTGACTGGTCCACCACAGGTTTTGGCCAAGGCCAGGGATACACCATCAATGTGCCTTGGAACCAGGTCAGTGTCTGCCCACTCTTTGCCCCTAAAGTGAGCCCCCCGCTTCAGCCGGTTTGGGGCAGAGGGCAGAATGTCCCCATCCTGCCTCTCTCTCTACAGGTGGGGATGCGAGATGCTGACTACATTGCTGCTTTCCTGCACATCCTGCTGCCAGTCGCCTTGGAGGTCCTGGGGGTCTGGGGTGTGTTGGGGCAGGGGCGATGTCAAGGGATGGGCCGTAAGGGCATGTGGCCTCATGTAGTCCCTTCCCCGCTCAGTTCCAGCCCCAGCTGGTCCTGGTGGCTGCTGGATTTGATGCCCTCCAAGGGGACCCCAAGGTAAGGCAGGCTCCCTGGGATGGCAGGCGGGCAGGAGGGGGCTACCCAGACCCACACTGACCCTCCACGTCCCCCCAGGGCGAGATGGCTGCCACTCCAGCAGGGTTTGCCCAGCTAACCCACCTGCTCATGGGTCTGGCAGGAGGCAAGTTGATCCTGTCTCTGGAGGTGAGTGACTCACTTCGTCTCAGCCTATGGATCCTGGAGGACGTAAGAATAAAGCTTTCAAGTCCAGCAGGAGTTCCTGTCCCAGCATTTCCACTTACTACCTGGACAACCTCACCTAAGTCACTGAACTTCCTTGTGCCTCTGCTGTCCTTCTGTAAAGTGGGCATAATAATAGTAGTGATCACCTCATAACACAGCACTCTAGTATTATTATTATTACTGTTCCCTGATAACGGCTGGTTCTTTCCTGACCCCCCTTACACTCCTTCTCCCAGGGTGGCTACAACCTCCGCTCCCTGGCTGAGGGTGTCAGCGCTTCGCTCCACACCCTTCTGGGAGACCCTTGCCCCATGCTGGAATCCCCTGGTGCCCCCTGCCCGAGGTGAGCCCAGGTGGAGGAGGGGAGAAGCGGGACCCTCACTGCCTTCCCAGGGGCCATTTGATCACATTTTCCCCTCTTCTGCCTTCCAGTGCTCAGGCATCACTCTCCTGCACTCTGGAAGCCCTGGAGCCCTTCTGGGAGGTCCTTGTGAGATCAGGTAGGAGGCAGGAAGTGGGCTTGGTGGGGGGTCGAGCCTGGAATGAGCTGTGGGGGAGACTGTCTTCCAGACTCTCCTCTTTGACTTTCCTGGGCTGCCTTGGTGGGGGAGGGTCAGGCCCTCTCTCTCACTGGGCTCTGGTTTCAGGCCTCCTACTCCTTTTTACCTTCCGGTAAACTGAGTTCCAGAGTATTATGGGGATTCAGGGTGGGGGAGTAGGGTGAATGTGGCCTCCCTTTGCAGTTGAGACCGTGGAGGAGGACGATGTGGAGGGGGACAATGTGGAGGAGAAAGAGGAGGAACCAGGGCAGCCCCCTGCACTCCCAGTCCTGACGTGGCCGGTGCTGCAGGCTCGCACAGGGCTGGTCTACGACCAACGGATGATGGGTCACTACAACTTGTGGGACAGGTATGCAGTCAGAGGGCCAGGCTCAGTGGCAGGGCGGTCCCTCCCCCTCCTCAGGCACTAAGCCCTGCCTCTGGTTTCCCACTCCTAGCCACCACCCCGAGATGCCTCAGCGCATCTCACGTATCATGCGCCGTCTGGAGGAGCTGGGCCTTGCCGAGCGCTGCCTCACCCTGCCCGCACGTCCCGCCACAGATGCTGAGCTGCTCACGTGCCACAGGTCAGACCCCATGCCTGGGGTGGGATTGGGCCTCAGTGCACACATGCCGCCCTGGGCACTGGAGCCTGGGCTCTCCCTCCCCAGTACCTGGAGCTGCCGTGGGACACGGGAGGGGACAGAACCGCCTGACTGTCCCCGGTGCCCTGTCTGTGCCTCCAGTGCTGAGTACGTGGGTCGTCTCCGGGCCACGGAGAAGATGAAAACCCGGGAGCTGCACCGTGAGGGCGCCAACTTTGACTCCATCTACATCTGCCCCAGCACCTTCACCTGCGCGCAGCTGGCCACTGGCGCTGTGTGCCGCCTAGTGGAGGCTGTGCTGGCGGGAGAGGTGCATCCACTTTGGGGTGGGGGGCTCCGGAGAAGAGGTCCTGGGGGGATGGACAGAGGCGGCTCTGAGAGAGTTGGGCAGGGCCTGCGGAAAGGTGGCATGGAGAGGAGTCCACAGCAGGGGGGAGCCCCAGCTCACCTGAGGCCTTGCTCACTGGGAAGTGCAGCCATGGGCATGGGGGCTTCAGGGCTGGGGGCCCCTAGCAGCTGGTGGAGTAGTGGAAGAGGCAGGAGAGAGGGAAGAGCAGAAAGGGGAGGGAAAGCCATGAGGGTGAGTGGTCTAATCTTCGCTCCCTACTCCTCCTCCAGGTTTTGAATGGTATTGCTGTGGTGCGTCCCCCGGGACACCACGCAGAGCAGGATGCCGCTTGTGGTTTCTGCTTTTTCAACTCTGTAGCTGTGGCTGCTCGCCATGCCCAGACCATCAGTGGGCATGCGCTGCGGTAAGGGCTCCCTGGGGCCTGCCAGCCCAGTGCTTACTCAGCAGGCCCCATGGTGCAGTCTCTAGGACTTACCCAGAAACACCCAAGGGTCCAATTGCTCAGCACTTCCCCAGAAAAAGACCAAGGATCTAGCTTCTCAGTGCTTACTCAGATAGGATCCCCAGGTTGTGGCACCCAGGTGCTTATAAAACAGGATCCAGGGTCCCCCTCAGCATTTCTGGCCCCTGATGGCTATCCTGACAGAACCTAGGGCCAAGACCCCAGGTGCTTACTTCCAAAGATCTAGGATCCAGTCCCTGACACTTACCCACACAGGGCCCGGGTCCAGCCCTGAGAAATTGCTGGGGCCCACAGTGAAGCTCTCAGGACCCAGGCTCTGGCTTTCATCCTTACTCTGATAGGACCCACAAGCCTGCCACCTAGCACTTTCCCCAGGGACCCAGGGTCCTGCAGACAGACCCCAGGGGTCTAGCCCCTGTCCTCTCCCAGGGAACTAGTGTCCCAGGTAACTGAGGAGCTGTCCCCTCCCCAGGATCCTGATTGTGGACTGGGACGTCCATCACGGTAATGGAACTCAGCACATATTTGAGGAGGACCCCAGGTGAGAGGCTGGGGCAGGGGGCAGAGTATGGTCAGGGAGGTGGGCAGGCCATGCCTTGGGGTGCCAGAGGCTGCTAACCAGCCATGGCCCCCCTTCCCACCCCATCCCTGGCAGTGTGCTGTACATTTCCCTGCACCGCTATGATCATGGCACCTTCTTTCCCATGGGGGATGAGGGCACCAGCAGCCAGATGGGCCGGGCTGCAGGCACAGGCTTCACTGTCAACGTGACCTGGAATGGGCCCCGCATGGGTGACGCTGATTACTTGGCTGCTTGGCATCGCCTGGTGCTTCCCATTGCTTACGAGGTATGGCTCAGGATGTATGTGACACGACTGTGTGGGTGGCAGCGGGTGTGCATGTGTCTGACTTCCGGGTGACTGATCCTGTGAGATGGCCTGTGGGTGGCTGTAGTGACGGCTGTGGGGGGGATGTGACTCGGTGATGGCCTTTGCATATGTCTGACTGTGTACAGTGGCTATACGTGACTGCCTTCCTTGTGTGTAACTGTGAGGGACTTCTGGGTGTGCAGGGGTGGTCTGCCTGTGCCTGGTTGTATATGTGTCCTGTGCATACACCATCATCAGTGCCTGTCTGTGTGTGATAGTGGCCCCGTGTGAGTGCTGTCTCTGTGGAACTGAGTGTGCAACACGGGGAGGGATTTGAGTATGTGTGTGAGACACTGCACAGGTGGCTATTTGTCACTACTATTTCTGTGTGTGATGGGTTTAATACTATATGTCACTGCATGTTGCTCTCTGTGATAGCCGGTGGTGACTTTCTGCATGTGGGAGGCTATGTGTGACAGTCACCTCTCTGTCTGCCATTGCTGTTTGTGTGTCTCTCTCTGGATGGGGGTGGCCTGTATATATTTGCCTGACTCTGCATGAGTGGGTGTAGGTGACCACCTTCTCTGTGTGTACATTGCATGTGTGTATGGTGGATTGTATGTGTGTGACTGACTCTGAGGACAGATGAATGGGAGCACCATCTCTGTGATCTCCGTGCAGGTATGCATGTTCAGATGTGTACGTGTGTCTGACTATACACGGTGGCTGTGACTACCTTCTGTGTGTAGGTAAATGTGTGACTGTGTGTGCAGGCAACCACCTCCTGTGGGCACAACAGTGTGTATGTGACTGTGTGATGATGGCATGTGTGTGATTGTGTCTGTGCAGGGGTGGCTGTGTGTTACCGTCCCCTCTGTGAGAAACTGTGTATGTGTGTGTGACTAGTACAATGTGTAGTCTGGTCTGTATGGTACTGTCTGATTGTGTGTGGGTACGTGTGGCTATATGTGACCATCTTCTGTGTGTGGCACTTGCATTGTACACGTGTCCCATGTCACCATCTCTTGACATCTGAGTCGCCACATCTCATGTCTCTGTGTCTCATATGTTGTCTCATGACTCTGCTTCGTATCCCCATCCATCCATTTCTAGAAATGTCTCTGTGTCTCATGTCTCTTAAGTCCGTGTCTGGTATGTTTACATCTCTGTCGGTCTGTCTCCATGTCTCTGTGTCTCTGAGTTTTGCTGTCTTGTGTCTCCATATCCTCCCCTTTCTATTTTTAGGGCTCTTCTTGTGTCTCCTGGTCTCCAGGTCCCATGTCTCCATCTCTCTGAGTTACGTCTTCATATCTTCATTTATCCTTGTCTCCATGTCTCTGGGTCTCCCTCACATACTGCCTACCCAGGCCCCCATCCTCATGCCCATGTGTCTTTTCTCCCCTTGCCTTAGTTTAACCCAGAACTGGTGCTAGTCTCAGCTGGCTTTGACGCTGCACGGGGTGACCCGCTGGGGGGCTGCCAGGTGTCGCCTGAGGGCTATGCCCACCTCACCCACTTGCTGATGGGCCTTGCCAATGGCCGCATTATCCTAATCCTGGAGGTAACTCTCTCGGGCCCTCTTCCCATGGTGGGGAGGGTGGTTTGGAAGACCCGAAGTCCCGCCCTTTCTGCTGGCTGCCTGCGACACTTGGGGCAATTTCTTAAAATCTCCTTTGACTGTCCCCACCTGGGATTGTTGGCACATACTGGCCATTAATAATAACACCAGCATTAACAACTTTAATTGAGTGCTCACTATGTGCAAAACACTCTTCTTGGCACTTTATATGGATTATTAATTCGTTTACTTGACAAAGCAGCCTTCTGAGGTAGTCTGCTGACCTCATCATTTTCCTCTTTTAAGATCAGGGAAACTGAGGCACAGGGAGGTGTAGTGACTAGCCCGAGGTCACACATTTAATAATGGTAGAGCCAGGGCTTGAAAACCCAGGCAGCTTGGCTCTAGAGTCTATGCTTTTACCACTCCTTGAACTGCCTCCAACAAGTTCCTGAGACAAAGTAAATTCACTGACCTTTTGTAAATTACTCAGTGCCCCCGCCCCCATGCCTCAGTTTCCTCATCTGTAAGATAAGACTGGCTAACCATGGGAGAGTGCCTGCATATGGTAAGCACCGTATGAGCTCTGTAGCTTACTATTATTATGTGTTATTCATACACTAGTTTAGCCCTCTCAGCAAGCTTACGTGCTGTTATTTTTACTACTTTACAGATGTAACAATAAGTTACAGTGAGATTAATGGGCTGGGAAAAAGTCCCACAGTGTGCCCAGGACTGCTTGGGGTGGGGCAGCGTGGTGGTTAAGAACATGGACTCTTTCATCAGATGGCCCAGGTTCCAACCCCAGTGCCACCTCTTCCCAGCTGTTATGACCTCAGACAGTCGCCCAACCACTCTGAGCCTCCTTTTCCTATCTGTAAAAAGAGCAGAATCTGGGGTTCCAATAGAGTGTGAGAAAGAGTGTGACCGGTACCAGGTCAGGACAGCGGTTCATGTAGAGGGAGAGACCAGTTGTTCCTGTACCAGGTCGGGGCAGGGTCTTCTGTGTAGGTGCAGCCAGGGGTTTCCATACTGTGAAGACAGGTTCCTGTACAGATTGAGCAAACGTGGTTGTGAGGAGTAAGTGAATTACTATACATAAAGTGCTTAGAATAGGATCTGGCACACAGCAAGCACTTAATGAATGTCAGCTGTTATTAATGTTACCGTCAGTATTGTTGTTACTGTTATTATCTTGCGCTACACATCACAATTTATCTCTCTTAACAACCCCTTCATACAATGGGTGCTGCCCATCTGACAGATGTGGGTTCTACTCACTTGTCCCCAGTACCCACCCTCCAGACTTGCAGGGCCCCGAAGGGGGATTGGGAGGCAAAACATCTTGCCTCCCAAATTCCCAGAGGATCCCCCTCATGCCTTTGCCTCCCCTTTTCCTTAACAAAGGGCGGCTATAACCTGACATCCATCTCGGAGTCCATGGCTGCCTGCACCCGCTCCCTCCTTGGGGACCCACCACCCCTCCTGACCCTGCCACGGCCCCCACTGGCAGGGGCCCTGGCCTCCATCACTGAGACCATCCAAGTCCATCGCAGATATTGGCGCAGCTTACGGATCACAAGTGAGTAGGCATGGGGAATTGAGGACAATGAGGGGCTCCGGGGAGGGCAGGGATTAGAGGCAGGAGAGGGGATAGTACCCACAATCAAGGATCTCCCTCCCATGGTTCCAGAGGTTGAAGACAAGGAGGGACCCTCCAGTTCTAAGTCAATCACCAAGAAGGCACCCCAACCAGCCAATCCTGGGTCAGCCAAGGAGATGACCACATCAGAAGGGAACATTCTGGATGCAGGCACAGAGAAGGCCACCTCAGTATCATCTGTTGAAGAGTCTACTCCAGGAGAGACAAAGTCAGAGACAGCTATGGTGGAGCTCACTCAGGACAAGTCCTTGGAGGCAGCCACAGGGAAAGCCACACTGGGCCAGACCATCTCAGAGACAGCCACAGGGAAAGGCACGCTGGACCAGACCACCTCAGAGACAGCCACGGGGGAAGCCACGCTGGACCAGACCACTTCAGAGACAGCCATGGGAAAAGGCACGCTGGACCAGACCACCTCAGAGACAGCCACAGGGGAAGCCACACTGGACCAGAGCACCTCAGAGACAGCCACCAAGGAAGGCACGCTGGACCAGACCACCTCAGAGACAGCCATAGGGGAAGCCACGCTGGACCAGACCACCTCAGAGATAGCCACCAAGGAAGGCACGCTGGGCCAGACCACCTCAGAGACAGCCACAGGGGAAGCCATGCTGGACCAGACCACCTCAGAAGGAGCCATGCTGGCCCAGACCACCTCAGAGGCTGCCACAGGAGGAGCCACACTAGACCAGACCACCTCAGAGGCAGCCACAGGGGGAGCCACGCTGGACCAGACCACCTCAGAGATAGCCATGGTGGGAGCCAAGCTAGACCAGGCCACCTCAGAGATAGCCATGAGGGGAGCCATGCTGGACCAGACCACCTTGGGAGCAACCACAGGAGGAGCTACGCTGGACGAGACCAGCTCAGAGATAGCCACGGGGGGAGCCATGCTGGACCAGACCACCTTGGGAGCAGCCAGAGGGGGAGCCACGCTGGATCAGACCACCTCAGAGGCTGTCAGGGGAGCTGAGCTGATCCAAATTCCTCCAGCCTCATACACTGACAACCAGACTTCCCCAGCCTCACCTGTGGAAGGAGCGACACCCCAGATATCCCCTAGTAAGCTGATTGGGAATCTCAGGACCTTGGAACTAGACAACGAGGCTCAGGTAATGCCCACCACGCCCAGGTAGGGGGAAGAAGGGGCAAGAATTGGGCCTTTCAGATACATCTCTTGCCTCTGTGTGTCCAGGAGGCACCAGTATCTCAGATCCCTGAAGAGGAGAGACTACTAGGAGAGGCAGCTGGAGGTCAGGACATGGATGATTCAGTGCTGATGCAGAGCTTTGGGGTTACTGACCAGGTGAGCTCAGGGAGGGGCTGGGACTGTGGCTTCCTTCTCTTGCCCATTTGTACCTCTAGGTAGAAGCATGTGATGTAGGAACATATAATGGGGAGTTGGAGTCCCTAGCTTACTCAGTTTCACCCACCCCAGGCCATGTTTTATGCCGTGACACCACTGCCCTGGTGTCCGCATTTGGTGGCAGTAAGCCCCATACCTGAAGCAGGCCTGGACGTGACCCAACCTTGTCAGGACTGTGGAGCACTCCAGGAGAACTGGGTGTGTCTGTCTTGCTATCAGGTATGCTGCAGAGGAAGGGGATGGGGTGGAAGTTGGCCCAGGAGTAAACCGCAGATGGGTGCTGATCCCTGCCCAACACTCATTCCCCAACCTCAGGTCTACTGTGGTCGTTACATCAATGCCCATATGCTCCAACACCACAAAGGCTCGGGACACCCGCTGGTCCTCAGCTACGTCGACCTGTCTACCTGGTGTTACTACTGTCAGGCCTATGTTCACCACCAGGTGGGCCCTGGGCAGACCCTCTAATGCATGCACGTTCACCCCCCCCATACACACATACCTTCTATGATTGGGTAAGGGGAGAATGGAGACCCTTCTGCATGTGGGATAGTCCAGGAGACAGGGTGGTTGAGAGCTGGATTGGGGGCAGCCTCCTGGCTGAGGTAGAGGGGTCCTCACTCTCTCTTACCTACCCTCTCTTGCCTCCTCTTCAGGCTCTCCTAGAGGCGAAGAACGTGGCCCACCAGAATAAGTTTGGGGAGGGCATGCCCCCCCACTCACACTAAATCCCATAATGTGCTCCTCTTCTCCACCGTCTGAGGTCCAGGATAGACTGGCCCTAGTTCATTCCAAGCTGTACGTTGGATGTGGGGCAGCCTCACTCCATCCCATCCTGGGACCCTCTACAACTCCCCAAGCGTGCTGATTTAAGTGTAAATACTTATAAGAGGGCTGTGATCATCAGTTGTAGATCTCCCCCTGCCCACTGCCTGCTCAAGGGACTCCATCTACTCTGCCCCAGAAGGACGGGGGCAGCTCAGTGGCCGCAAGAGGTACTTTGGAGAGAGGGGGGATCGACTGGCAGGTATGGCGGGGTTGCGTATGTAATAAAGTACAAGCTGTTACAAAACCTGGAGAGAGCCTTCTAATTTTGCATGGGTGGAGAACCCCATACCCCTGGCCAACAGGGATGACAAGTAATGAATGAAGGGATGAGGGCATGGATCTTTATCAGGTCAACCCCCTGCCCATCCAGTGCTTAAAAACCTAATTGGAAATAGAGCAGGCAGCTTGACTGGCTCCACTATAGATTAAATAGTGGAGTCTGTGAGAAAATGAGTGCCTGCCTTAGAAATAGGGACCTCACAGCTGGTCCCAGCTACACCCTGGGCTGAGAAGGCAAAACTATCAGGAAGTATCCTCACGAAGCCTCAGTCTCCCTATCTGTCTTTTGTCTTGATTGGTGAGGGGGAGGTCCAGGTTTAACAGACTCAGATTTGGTCCTCATAGGTAGCTTCCTGGGGGAAGGAGTGCCTACCATTGACAAGGGGTGAGGAATTGGAGGATCATTTGGGGGTTTTATTTCTCCCACATAACGAGAATTGCTTTGGCAACTCAAAGGAGTCAGGGCTGAGGTTTTCTGGACTTTTCTTCAAGGCCACTTTATGACCCCAAGATGACCACCAGAGCCTCACCCAGTCAAGAAGAAGGGGAATGGAGAAGGGAAGGGGTCTGCAGCCAGCTCAGTCATCTCCCTTTTAAGGAGCATTTTGGATGGATGCCCCACTCAATAATTCCTGCTTACATCTCATTGGTCCAACGGTGTCACATGACTGCCATAGCTGCAAGGGAGTCTGGGAAATGTTTTAATTTGACACACACACACCTCAAATCAGGTTCTTACTACCCTAGCAGAGTAACCCTTCTCCTGCAACTCTTTCCCTTCAGGACCAGATACAACCCTATCCCAGGCTACCAAAAGGCCTGCTTGAGGCAGCACAGGCTCCATGGCTTCAAAGAGGCCCTCACAAAACATGTCCCAAAGTCTGGCCACTCAGGTCAAAAATCTGACACCCTCCACACACTAAAAACACTCAGTCACATCCCAGATGGGGGCAAGGTAAGGGAGGGGTGCGGCAGGACTCAGGGCACACAGGGAGGTCTGGACGCGTGCAGCGCACCCCAAGAACACCTCCTTCGTGCACCCCAAGAACACCTCCTTCGTGCGCACTCGTCGGCTGGGCCTGACCCTGCACTCACGCCTGGGCGGGCCGGCGGGCGGGGGGACGGGAGGCGGGGGTGCGCCGGAGGGGCTTGAGGGCGGGCCTCTGTGCGCATGCGTCCTCCCTCCCCTTCCCCCACCGCTGGGGCCGGTTGGGAGCATCTCCTCTGTCGGTCCTGTCAGAGCTGCGGCGGGTTCGGGTCCCAGCGCAACTGCCTTTCCCCGGACAGAGGTGAGCGGGCCGGCCGGGCCCCCAGCCCCGACCTGGGAGGGCTTTCCACGTAGAGTTTGGGGATGCGGCCGAGGTCGGTTTGGAGGGGCCCCTTCCCCTACCGCCTCCCATTCTCAGGGGCCCGCCAGCCCCTCCCAGCCCCTCACTCTGCCGGCTTTGTGGAGACAGAGCTGGGTGAGAGTGTCCGCGCCGGGCGGGAAGCGGGGCTGCGGGACCAAGACTGGGGAGTGGGGTCTTCCCTTCCCCACTCCGTCCCCCTCAGAAAGAACTGGGCGAGATTGTCCGGACTGGGTGCAGGGGCACAGTTTTCGGGTGAGACTCGGGGGTCACCCCTCCCCCCCCCAAGCTTTACACCTCACCTGGCTTGGTCAAGGGAAGTGTGACACGGTGAGGTTGTCCGGGGCAGCCCAGAGAGGGGTATTGTAAGCGCTCACTTTGGGGGTGGTCCGCCCCTGTCCCCTCCCGCTCCCCCGAGTCTGTGCTCACCTCCCTAGGTCAGTGAGACCAACACAGGCGACGTGCTCCAGGCAGCCTGAAGCCGGGTGGGGGGATTGCTGGGGGAGCTGGGGAGTGGGGAGGGTGTCTCAGGGACTCAAGGACCCTCTGATGGCGCTCCGATAGCACTTTCCACAGCAAGTGGTTCGGTATTACTTGAGGAGAAGGGTGAGACCTCTTTGCTGATCTCTCGTGGCTGTGTGACCTCACTGCTCTGCCCCTTGCTGCTCCTCATTGATCAGGTGGCCTGGGGATGATAGCCCAGGGGGTCAGGAAGGTTGTGTGGGCCTGTCAGGTGGGTCATCTGGCCCGTGTTAAGCGCTACCTACTGCTCTTATGGTCATTATCATAGTCATGGTGACCTTTGCCAAGAGGGAAGAGCCCTTCTCACACGTCCCCTACCTCAGGTCATGGCACCCTCAGGTCTCCAGCGGCCCAGGCCCAAAACTTAGGAGTCATCCTTGCCCCCTCCCCCGCCTTTTACTCTCTCAGCAAATCCTGTCAGTTAGTTCTACCTTCAGAATACACGAGAATCCGAGACTCGGTCTTCTCCTCTCCATGCCCACCGCCATCAGTGGCCTGAACTACTGCAGTGGCCTCCTCACTGCTTCCGCCCTCACCCCCTGCCCTCAGTTTGCCCTCACAGCTAGATCTTCTCCCTCTTCCTGTCCCCCAAGAGTTTGGGGACCCCTAGAGCTCTGTCCTCTGCTTACCTCTCTCCTCATCATGGCCCCCTTCCTTCAGGGTGAGCACATCCGATAACTATTTTCAGGGATTTCTCTGGGCAGAGGGCCCCATACCTGGATCTCCATCTGGGACCTTGCCCCACCCCCCACCCCTGACCGCCATATCCCAAACTCAACAGAACCCCCCATGGACACCTCGAACCCACCACTGCCCCCAAACTGCCTCTGCTCCCGGGTTTCCAGGGAGACTTGTGGTAGCGGCCATTATGATGCATTTCCTGAGACCACACACTGAACTAAGACCAGGATGTGTATTGAATGAATTAATGGTGATTTTCTATTAATAGCTCACACTGAGCACCTGCTGTGTGCCCATCCTCTGTAACTGCATGATCATTTACTTGCTTATCTTGTTTTTTATCTCTTACTTCCAGAATCTAATCCCCTCAAGGGCAGGAACTTCAGTCTATTTTGTTCACTGCCATATCCCCACCCCCACACTTCCCACCCCTCACTCCCCACCCCCCCATCCCTACACCCATTACAATGCCTGGCATGCAGGAAGATTCTCGAATTGATGAATGAAAATTAAATTATAATAAAAATGCCTAACATTAACAAAGCACCTTCTGCGTGCTTACCACCTATTGTGGAAATATATTTTACTGATTTATCCTTGTTGTTGTCTGTCTTCCTGACTAGAATATCCTGTTCCTGAGGGCCAGAGTTTGTTATCCACTTCTTTCCCCGCCTTTATGTCCTTTCCACACAATAGGTTCTCAATAGCTGTATGTTGAGTAAGTAATAAAGACTAGATTCAAATGATAATGGCTAAGAGACCTCAATTTGCTTATTTGTTTCATTTGTTATCTCCCCCTTTTGGAACATAAACTCCCTGGGGGCAGGAATGTTGCTCAGCACACAATGTGACAGGCCCTGTGCTGGGCTGGGGTTCAACCGAGATACAATCCGAAATCAAAACCGACAGATTCCCTGCCCTCCCTCCAGAACGTGGAGGGACCGCTAGTGGGCGGGGGGTTCTTTTGGGGTGAAGAAAATGTTCTAAAATTAGATTATGGTGATGGTTGCACAACTCTGTGAATATGCTAAAAAAAAACATTGAATTGTACACTAGGCCAACTTTATGGTATATAAATTATATCTCAGTAAAGCTGTTTAAAAATCCTGCCTTTGCAGAGTTTATGTCGTAGAAGGGAATGAGAGTGACAGAATAAACAGCATAAATAATGCAGATAGTATATCAGAAGGTGATTAGCACACACTAGGCACTCAATAAATGTTGATTCAATGACACCCGGCTGTCCCGTTGCCCCCAAATGGTCTTGCCTAACCTCCCCCCCCCCCGGCCCCATTGTCTTTCTTCTCTTCCCCCTTGCAGGGCCTGCTGTCTCCATCTCTTCCCTGAGCTTGCCTGCTGGGGCCATGGCGCAGCCAACAAAGCCTAGCAAGTTTGATCTGGGCCTGGGCACGTGGAGCCTTAGCTCCCAGGAGAAGAGCCACAGGGCTCAGACCCCCCCCAGGGCTGTTGGCAAGCAGCTGCCCGAGTACAAGGCGGTGGTGGTGGGTGCGAGCGGCGTGGGCAAGAGTGCGCTGACCATCCAGCTGAACCACGAGTGCTTCGTAGAAGACTATGACCCCACGATCCAGGATTCCTACTGGAAGGAGATGGCCCTGGGCCAAGGGAGCTGCATTCTGAATGTGCTGGACACGGCAGGGCAGCCCATTCATAAGGCCCTGCGTGACCAGTGTGTGGCTGTTGGGGATGGTGTGCTGGGTGTCTTCGCCCTTGATGACCCTTCGTCTCTAACCCAGCTGCAGCAGATGCGGGCCACCTGGGGCCCTCACCACACTCGGCCCCTCGTCCTTGTGGGCAACAAGTGTGACCTCGTGACCACCTCCGGAGATGCTCGTGCAGCTGCTGCAGCCCTCGCGAAGAGCTGGGGGGCCCCCTTCGTGGAGACCTCAGCCAAAACACGGCAAGGTGTAGAGGAGGCCTTTACCCTGCTCATCCATGAGATCCAAAGGGTCCAGGAGGCCATGGCAAAGGAGGCCATGGCACGGCCAAGGGGGGTGAAGGCCCGGCACCAAAAGGCCAAGTGCCACTGTGGCTGCTGTGTGGCCTGAGGGGTTTGGTCAAAGAAAAGTGGACCCTCCCCCAGGCCAGGGTGGTGGTTCCTTAACATGAGACGAATGGCACAACTAGCTGTTTGGGACACTGTTGGTGTACTAGGATAGATGGATCCCTCTCAGGGAAGTTTTCATTCGGTGATGGGCTTTTTGTCAATGTGGGACGTGGTGTTGGTTATGTTTGGGACGTGGTGTTGGTTATGTTATGTCAAATTGAGAGATTTTGTGCAAAATTAAATAAATGGTGTTTTCAGGTTTCAAAGCTGCCTCCATGACAAGTGTTAATGTGGGTGGGAGTGAGACTAGGGAGAATGTTACTTGAATTGTGAGAATTCTTTCATTCAAGAAATGTGGGGGAGCCCACTGTGTGCCAGGCCCTGCTTTGGGTGCAAAGGATATAGAGGCAAACAAGACACTTAAAAAACCCTGCCCTTGTAGATATGACATAAGGCTATGTATTAAAGGCAGGTGAAGGAATAAAGAGTGACAGGGAGGTCAAGGAAAGCCTTATTCCGCAGGTGACATTTGAGGAAAAACTTGTGGATAACTAGGGGCAAAGGGATTAGCCAGCACAAAGGCTGTGACCACAAACCAGCTCCCACCACACCAACTCCCAGGGTCTTCAGGGCTGGCGTCAGAGTGCCTGTGCTAGAGCAGCCTCTGTACTATATAACTAAATAGTGAAACGTTACAAATCCAGCTAACAAGCGTAAACAAAATACATCCTATCCTCCTACCTTGTCAAGTCCATTTTCTTAATGACCGGAAGGCCCAGGTTCTAATTTCTCAGACTGCTTAGTGTTCCATGCCAGGATGTGAGGGTGTCAGGAGGGCTGACCCTGGCCTGCAGCCCCCTACCTTTCTCTTCTGGCAGGCAGCCCCTCACCTTAGGAGGTACTTGTGTGTCCGGTGCCAGCCAGCTCAGCCCAAGCTCTAGTCACACCTCACAAATAGCCACCCCTTGGTCCTCTGGAGGATGCACCCCCAGAAGATGCTGCTGCAGGTCTTGAAAGTGGCCTCAAAGCCTTCAGGGCTGCCCATACCCCAGTGAGGCCCACCCAGAAGTGGGGCACAGGATCGGGGTGGGCACTGCCATTGTCCATATGGATGCCTCCCTCAATGAGGAGAGGCATAGACTGAGGGAGGAGGGGATGAATTAATGAGGGCCATAAAGTGTGGGACCCAGCGCAGGGGCCCCTCTGCCCTTGTCTAAGAGTGGCTATCACCACTCAATCCATCAGCTCCCTAGAAACTGCCACTCACAGACAAGTACATAGCTGCTTCAGATCGTATTTATTGTGGGTCCAGGGGTGGGTATCTTGGGGTTCAAGGGCAGCAACTGCGGCTGGCGGCTGGCGGGGAGGAGTCGGGGTGTTGGGGGAGGGATGGTTCTGGGCGCGCAGAATTCAGGTGGTGTTCAGGGCGGCAAAATGCGGCGCGCCTGGGGCACGGGGGTCTCCAGACGCTTCACGCGCAGCAGGGCCCCCAGCACGCCCTCAGGGGGCACCTCAGGGCCTAGATCCTGGTCGGCGGCGCGGCGGAGGCGGCGCGGGGCAGCCACAGCCTCAGGGTCTGGGCTTCCTGCAAGGATCCGCCCCAACAAATACCTGCAAGGGAGCCAGAGCAGAACGCAGTGTGGATGTGTCTGCGAGTCTACGCCCGGGCCCTAGGACCCAGACGGCCCTGCCTCCCCATACTGCCTGGGGACCTGGCCGTCTCTAGCCTCCCCCCAACCCAGGCGTCCCCAGCCACCTGCTGTCAGGAGACAGAAGTCCCCGCCTCCCATCCCATCCCCGCCTACAGAAACTGCAGTTTCCCCGTCTCCCACTCCTGCCCCCAGAAATGCGGCATCCCAGCCTCCTCCCCGGGACCGAGAGTCCAGGTCCCCCACTGTTCCCCCAGCCAGGAATCTCTGCCCCCACACCCCGGGGCCAGGACCTCCCTCCCTCCTAGGGTCCCAGGACCTAGGTGGTCGCACTTCCATCTGGTGAGGCAGGCCCCCGCAGCCCCTCGCCCTCCTCCTCCCGGGATGCAGGCGCCCGCCCCCTTCCCACTCCAGGCCCGGGTACCTCAAGAGCTCAGGGTCCACGTCGGGCGTCTCGTCGCCGGCGTCTTCAGCGTCAGGGCCCATGGGGCCGTCGTCGTAGACTGGAGGCCGGGGTCTGAGCGGAGCGGCGGGGACAGGAGCGGGGACAAGCTGGGCTGCGAGGGCGGCAGGGTCGAGGCGCGCGCGGAGCAGGGCACGGGCGAGCTGCGCGGCGGGCGCGTCGGGGTCGTCCTCCAGGCCCAGGGCCGGGTCGTTGGTGCGGGTTGCGCTCCAGACGCGCAGCAGCTGCGCCAGGACGCGCGCCTGCTGATCCTCGGCCTCCTGCGCCTCGGCCCGCGCCCGCTCCTGCCTTTCGGCCTCCAGCAGGTGCGCCAGCGCCCGCGCCAGCTCCTGCACGGTCCCCGCCGCCTCTCCCCGGGGCACTGCCCGCCGGAAGCGGCGGGGAGCGCCAGCCTCAGCCATGGGCGGCGAGGCTGCGCCCAGGCCGCGGGGCTCCTGCGGGAAGACGAGGTGGAAAGGAAGATGTCGTCAGCGTCCGTCAGAGACCTCCCAACGCGGAGGGCTCCATGGACCTCATCAAATATCCCCAGATGCCACCAAAGGCACCGTGGCCCCTCAGATATACCCAGACACCCTTAAGGCCTCTGGAGACCCCCAAATGTCTCCAGACACACTTAAGACCACCAAAGACTCCTACACCCCGACCCCCCCTCCAACGATTTCCTAGTGACTCAGAACTTGCCCTGGGACTGCTGGAGACCAGGTTTCTTTATAGGAGTGGCCATAGTAGATATGACAGCTATAGATTGTTAAATTTGTGAACAATAGGAACCTACATTCGCATTTTATAGGTTCCTATTGTCCACTTGTTTTACCCAAAAGGTAGCGGACTCTTCCGCACCTTGCTTTTTGGAATCTATATCCTGCTCAGTACCTTAAGAGCATCCTTTCTCTCTCCCTTTTTCTTTCTTTCTTCTGCACTGAATCCCTTTTGTATGGATGTACAATCGTTTATGTAACCAGTCTTCAATTGATGAACATTTAGGGTACTTCCAATCTTTTGCTATTCTTATAATGTTGGAATGAATAACCTTGTTCATATACCATTTGGCATTTGTGCAAGTCTATCTGTAGAATAAATTACCCAATGACTAATTTTCAGTTCAGACGGTTTTGAAACAATTTCAGTAAGTTTAAAGAAATAACAGAGAGTATCAAAAGTGTGAGCAAGGAACAAAAGACCATAAAAATGACCATGAAGATTTGAAAAAGAAACAGAGAACATCTAGAAATATATTTTAAATGAAATTAAAAATTAAACGGGCAAATCAAACAGCAGATTCAATACAGCAGAAGAAGTAATAGGATTGAACAGAGCTTAGAAAGAGATCCACACATACTGACACTTGCCACGTGACAGAGGGGGCACTGCAGAGCAGTGGAGACAGGATCAACTCCTGCAATAAATCATGCGGGAACAAGTGATCCAAATTTGGGAACAATGGAAAGGAAAAGACAAATAAATTTAACTACACTACAATTAAGAATTTCTTTTTATCCCAAGACACCATAAAAAGAATGAAATTAAAACTAGAGTTGGGCCGGCTCTGTGGCTTAGCGGTTAAGTGCGCGCGCTCTGATGCTGGCGGCCCGGGTTCGGATCCCGGGAGTGCCCGGAGGCACCACTTCTCCGTCCAACGCGAGGCCGAGTCCCGCGTACAGCAACTAGAAGGATGTGAACCTATGACATACAACTATCTACTGGGGCTTTGGGGGGAAAAAGCTGAATAAATAAAATCTTTAAAAAAAAAAAAAAAAAAAAAAACTAGAGTTGATGAAGGTGCCTGCAAACCAAGCAGTCAGGAACGGATTAGCATCCAATGTATGAAGAAGGCCTATAAAGCAATAAGAGAAAACGAAACTCATATAAAAATGGGCAAAATTGACAACCAAGTGCTTCACAAAAAAGGAAACAAAAACAGTTACTAAACATACAAAAAATAGTGAACCTCATTAGTAATCAGTGAAATGCAAATTAAAGTGCCAGTGAGATAGTCTGCATTATAGGTCCAAAAGATTGCCCCAAATCAGAAAGTCTAATAATGTCCAGTGTTGACATGGATGTGGAAAAAAATAGAAATTGTTATACATCACTGGTGGGAATTCAATTGCCAAAATAACTTTGAAGGACAATTTGGCAAAGTCTAAAATGATGTGTATATTTTATGACCCACTCCTGGGGTGTTACACCCTAGAGTAGCTTTTGTACATACACTATTGGACACAGTTCATAAAAAATTACAGCAGCACCGTTTGTAACAGCATAAAAGTGGAGAGAGGGGAAAAAGAGAAAGAAAAGCCTGGAAACAACCCAAATGTCTATCGACATATTGAGAATGCATCTACGAACCATGACATACTCAAATACTCGCGATATACTCATAGGATATAATATGCAGCAATAAAAATAAATGAATTACAGCCACACATTTCAATGTAGATGACTCTCACATCCAACGAAGAGAAAAAAAAAATACGCAAGTTGCAGAATTCCACTGCAGATTGCCTGAGACTACCAGACACCCCGATGACTTCCTAGTGACCCCTAGTGACTACCAGGAGCCAGATGTCTGGTTTGATTCCATTTCTGTGAGGAAAAACTAAACAAGATATTGTTTAGACATACACAGATATGTGATAAGCTACAGACAAAAGTAAGGGATCAATGAACAGGAAATACAGGATAATGATTATGGAGGAGAGGAGCTGCTGTGGGGAGGGGCACCCGGGGGCTTCCAACTATTGGTCATGCTCTGTTTCTTAAACTGAGTGGTGGGTACACATGGGAGGTATTTTATCATCATTCCTTACATTGTACATGTATGTTAAATATATTATGTCATGTATATAAAATATTTAATAATTTTAAAAATCCCCCATCCTTGATGCAGAGCACCCTGAAGAGTTAGAGGAGGATGTGCTCCAAGT